CATACCATAGCATGTCATGCCCAGTATATAAACTGGGGGCAGATAACCTGGAAAGGGGAGATCACTGCTCAGGTGGGACTGGGTATCAGTTGGCAGGTGGTGAGCAGTTGTATTTTCTCCCCTTGTTATTTTCTCTATCATTATTATTACCGGTGGTAGCAGTAGTGGTTTGTGTTATACCTTAATTACTGGACTGTTCTTATCTCAAACCCATGGGAGCTACATTCTTCTGATTCTCCTCCCCATTCCTCCAGGAGCAGAGCAGGGAGTGAGAGAGCCGCTGCATGGTTCTGAGTTACTGATGGGCTTAAACCATGACAGAGACACACACAGAGGTTTCCAATATGAAACGTTTAGCCTCAGAGATGGGCATCTGCTACATGATGTTTCAGATTTTACTAATTTCAAACAGGAAAGTGACTTGAATTGACATATAAAAAAAATCACTTCAGATATTCCTTCCTCAGCTGTTCCAGCCAATCTGAGTTGCTGATTATCAACGTCCAAGGAGATACCTTGCCAAAGCACAGAACCAGTGGGAAAGAATTATAATATCCAACTAATCCAAGAATGTACTTGTCCTTGGAGACTGCATTTTGAAATCATATTATTTGCTGTTTGTACATGTCAGTCATGCAGTCAGTCAATTTTATTTTTCTGGGGTAAAGAATTAAAGATTTGTAGAATACTTCACAGAGTGTAAACCAAGTCCAAATGCTTATTTGAAATTTTGAATATTATCAGAATCATTAATGTAATTTAATTGGGGGACTAATTATTGCAGTGTTCTTCCTTTCAGCAATGCATCTCAATCAATAAAAATGTCATCTTTGCTGAGAAGCATTTCATGACTAAAAAGACTGATCTCAGCCATACTTGGAAGAATTCCTAGACTGTGCTCCCAAACTACTCCCAGAAGTTGTCAAGGGAAGTCGATGGTTGCCAAAATTGTGTCAAGGAATCTCCTAACAGCTAGGCAGTATGGGCAACTGCAGTCTAACACTTGAGACAATGACTTGGGCCTGCTTGCTAGTATAAAAAGAGCTAGCTTGCCTTGGATATATCATTTGTCAGGGCCTTGGGTATGATGTGCTGTGCAGAATCCTCTCACTTCTACCATTCTTCAGAGGTTTGCCAGAGAGCTTTTTTTCAGCTCCCAGCTGTGATTTTTCCTTTCCTGTACCATGCCAGGGTGCAGAACTCAGCACACAGGTTCAAATAAGAGATGAGAAAAACTACTGGAAACAGCTAAGAGTTCATTTTAGCAGCAACTGTATAGCAACCAATGCAATAGCAAACCAATTATGAATCATATGATATTAATGAAATATTGTAGGAAGATTACATTATAATCTTATCTGTGGCAGGAATTTTCTAGAAGATTAATTAGATGAAGGTATTAAAATGAATCAGCTTGAAGTCAATCAGCTTGAATCAGCTTGAAGGTTTCAGAAAGCAATTTTAGCCAAAGGTCATACCCGAGGATGAGTATTTGCTAGGAATTACGACAAACCTACAGGAAGTAGGAGCAAATGACCTCACATGCAGATAATACAAATGAAAATCCAATACTCATTTGAGTTTACACTACAAGGAATTTGCTTGGGAACAGTATAAAGGTATGAAGAGTATGAATCCCTACCTAGCATAACTATACTGACAAAAGACCTTACAGGAAAAAGAATATTTTTTTTCTAAAGAATAGCTTGTTTCCCCTGGGGGCAGGTGAGTAAGAGGCCACAGTGGCTTTACTATGTGTATAAATTGCAAATTTTTGTCTTCATAACTCTAGTGCTAATTTATAACACCTATGTCTTTCATTTCAGTGAAGCACTCTTTATGCAAACACAATTTAAAGGTTAACCTTCTCTAGACTACTGTATTTTAAAAAAAGCAGCTTTCAGATAAAATTGGATAGTCTGAGTACATTTCCAAAGCTGCCATCAAAACAAAATTCTTTTAACATGGCCAAGAAGACGTGGCCTCTTGAAAGCCACGAAGCATATCTGTTTCATTCTCCTTCAAATTAAAGTAAGATATATATTTTTTATTTCATAGGAAACATTGAAGTATAAGGAACATGTTGCTTGTTCAGGTTTGTAAGCTTTGGAATAATAATAAATAAATCAAATCTATTAGGAAACCACTCGAAAATGTTCTTTGACAGTTAACAGGACTGATTTACATCTCTTGGAAGACTGTGATAGTTGCCATATATCTGTACATAAAAATAGCCCCAGTGTTGGCATACCACATTGCTGGCAGTGTCTGTAACTGCTGGTTCAGCATTTTCCTCCTCTGGTAAGCACACTAACCTACCAAATTACTCCCTGGGGCTCTTGGTCAGAGTACTTTTAGCATGTTATTTAAAATGCAAAATTATTTCTTTCTGGTGACTTATCAAAAGTGTTCTATATAACATATTAGGTTTAACTGGAATTAAGATGTATTCTGGCCAAGTTTCAGGCTTGGCATCATGAAGAAGGCAGAGTAGCTATTGTCTAATACAGCCCATGAATGGTGACTGAGTTTATCTAGAAATTGCCTTCAATCATCTGCCAAACATGAAGCCAGGCAGAAACATCTCCACAGTCTTGGAAACAAAACTGGAGGGGAAAGGTTTGAAAAAGAAATGCAATGAGGCAGCAGTTAGGGCTAACTGCAAGAGTTGTGCATTTCAGCCAGGCATGTGTTTCTGTATTCACCTGGGTTTATAACTGAAGATTACAAGAGCAGCCAAATTATAAAGACAAATTGTACATCTTTCAGTACTTAAGTTCCACAAATACGTAATTCTGGATGTACTAGAAGAAGCGATCCTGGGCCAAGATAAAGCCACTTAAAAACACTGTAACAAAAAAGGGAAAAACAGAAAGTAAAAGTAGTATATTTCCATACCACTACATGAACTTAGAACTGTAGATTATCTCAAGCAATTGTGATCATGTGGGCTTTTCCTATTATATTCTGATTTCATCCACTATGTTACAGGACAGGAAAAAAACCTCTACAGAATTTTAAGTATCCTTCATGAAGAATATGGTAGTTTCAAATGAAAACCTATGTATATTTACACATTTGTATAAGATACAGGTGTGTAAAAAGCAGGCCTCTGCTACTCTGTGGCAAAAGCCCTTCCCTTCCATGTACAGGCACAAAGAATACATCTAGCTTGCATTTGTAAAGGATACTTAAGGCAAGGTTCATGACCAAATGCACCCTCCATACAGACAGAAGATAAAGCCCCAGGTGCAGCCAGAGGCAACTTTGTGAAGCAAATCACATGTCCAGTCATTCCCAATGTCTTGGTGAGTTACTGGACGTCTTAATATGCACCTTGTAGAGGACAGGCTCCCCAAGAGTTGCCTGTAGGCAGCCAGTGCAGCAGTCATGTGGATTAGGAAGAGAAGTCAATCCTACTGGTGGTGTTCACAATTTTTTCTGACACCACTCACAAAGCATGACACAGATAAAGCCATAGTATTCAAAATCCATGTGACTGCAATTCCATTGAGCAAGGAACAGCAAGATGTAGCAAGTTTCACCTTTTCAGTCCATTTTGGCTCCTCCTACCAAAAGCAGGCTAATTGAGAGCAAGGAGTGAGTCTTGCAAATGAATGCACACTTGGGGCAATGACCATAAAGACGGAGGGAAGCTACTAAGTTGTGCTCTCAGGCATGATCACAGACAGAATACTCTACACTGCCATGGGCATGTGAGGGAGCAGTTAAACAAGTCCCTTTCTTTCTACCCCAAAAACAAAACATCCTCTTTTGTACAGACTCTAAAAGATTTGGACAGAAGAATTTTCTGGTGTTTTTCTTGTGTTACTCCATCACAAGTATTTTCCAAATTAAAGTACATGCTTTTGCCTGATCTGCAGCTGTTGTGGTTTTAAGTGCAGTCAGTAGCCCACGCAGCCCGCTCACTCACTCCCCCCTTTCTCCCCCACCCCGGAGGGACGGGGAGGAGAATCTAAAGAATGTAACTCCCACGGGTTGAGGTAAGAACAGTCCAGTAACTAAGGTATAACACAAAACCACTACTGCTACAACCAAGAATAATAATGATAAGGGAAATAACAAGGGAAGAGAATACAATACCACCCATCAATACTCAGCCTGACTGACCAGTGAACCTGCCCTTAAAGGTAACTGCCACCAGTTCTACATTCTGGGCATGATGTGCTGTGGTATGGAATACCTCTTTGGCTAGTTTGGGTCAGGTGTCCTGTCTCTGCTTCCTCCCTGCTTCCCTTCCTCCCTGGCAGAGCATGAGACTCACAAAGTCCTTGGTCAGACTAAATATTTGAGCAGTAACTAAAAACATTGGTGTTATCAGTGCTGTTCCCAGGCCTAAAGTCAAAACCACAGCACTGCACCAGCTTCTAAGAAGGAGAAAAATAACTGCTACTGTGGAACCCAGGACAGTATCCACCCCTTATTCCATACCAGTCACATCATGCTCAGATCCCCATTTTCAATATACCATCACTCTTATCTCAGTGCCCTCTTATCTTAGTGTGTGGACCAGTTCCTATAAAGCTGCTGAGTCCTTCTGTGCCTGATGTCAGGCTCCATCTCTTGTAACAGTCTTTCAGAGCAGGAGAGACTGTGTGCAGTGTTCACACTTGTGAATAACCTGGGCAATAGTGTCCACTGCTAAGTCCAGCCCTTAATCATGAGTCCATCTCTATGTTGCATCTCTGCCCTGGTGGCCTGAAGTGTCATGGGCCCACCAGGCTCAAAATAACTCAGCCTCTTCTTCAGCAGTTTTTGCAACTTGTCCCTGGGGACTCCATACAGCTGCCTTCTACCTCCAACACTTCCAAAGCACTGGAGGGGGCCCAGTGTACAAGATACTTGCCCATACTGTCCCACACACCCTGTCACTCATGACTGTCCAGCCTTGGGGAAAACCTCTTGGCTGTCCTATATCATTGTCTAACCCTAGGTAAGACCTAAACCCGACTCCGCTTAAGTTCAGATTCCGCTTAACCTCAGATCAGATAAAATGTTTGTGGGTAAAACACACTCTGTATGTGTGCCAACATGCTGATCCCCATCAAAATCAGCAGACAGGTCCCAAGGGTACCCAAAGGCCATTCAAAACCTTCAGAACTCTCAAATGGTGCTGCTGTACTTGTCACTGGGGCTGATGTAGCTGCTGTGCTTGCAGGCTGTCTCATCAGCAGCTTCTCTTTTTCTGAGTCCAGATCTTCCTCCGCTGCCTTGCTGGGAAATGCTGCATGGTTTCCTGCATCCCTGCACTTGTCCCATGTGCCTGAGGCTGGACCCAGCTGAGGCTCCCAAAGGTGGTATCTTGCTCTCCACATCCTCTTGGGGCTCAGGCTCTTGGGGCTTGGTGGGTGGCTGCTAGGGGATGCTCTCGGCTGTCGCAGGGCTGGGCTCAGCTGTGGGGCTCAGCTCCTCCGCCGCCTCCTCTGGCTCTTCGGCAGCCTCCTCCTTCCCCTCCTCAACAGCCCCAACCTCCTCCACCAGCAGCCGATCCCTTCCATCCTCCGGCCCTGCTCCTGCGGCTGCTTGGTCACCAGGGCTGCTCTCCTGGGCCACTTTGGCCACCGAGGGCTTCTGGGGCCGCTCCCCCTCAGCTCCCAGCAACCTCACAAAGATGGAGGCGAGGACGAGGGCCAGGATGGTGAAGAGCAGCAGGACAGTCAGGTACAAATCCACAGCCACATCTATCCCGCACTGCTGACAGAGCCTGCCTGTATTACAAGTCATTACCATAAAGTACAGTGAGACAAGAGCCTTAGCCCAAGCCCCCCATCTGATAAACACTGACACAGCAAATACCGGCTGCAAGTAAGGCACGACATGCTGAAACTGTGAGATCAAGAGCAATAACTCTGAGAGCCAATAAATCAACATTGTGATGAATGGTTTTCACAAATACGATTAGACACACTCCTGTCAGATCTGTCGTTATCTCAAGCCTTTGTGCCCCGCGTTTTGCACCTGTAATGACTTACTGGGTATCAGGGGCAGTAACCAAGCAGGCTGCATGGATTACTGACTGCACTTAAATCACGACAGCAGCCCACTCCTTACATCTTCACTGTTACATGGCAATTCCAAACCAGTAGATGTTCTGCGATCTGTGTTTTTCCATGTATGTGTTTTCTCATGTTTGCTTAGCTACGTTATGATTTTCTCTACAATTAACTGTTCAAATATGAGTAAAACCCATCTAGCTTGGCTATACCATCTTCTAATGTGAAGACAGGTGTAGAGGAGCATAGGTTTTCATTCCTAATACCACATGAATATTAATGACTCAATTCCATGCTTCCGTTTGTGTAAACTTGTGAGTAAACATTCCTGACTAAATAAATAAGAAAAAAAACAAAACCCAACCAACCAACCAAAAAAAAAAAAAAAAAAAAAAAACCCCACAGGATACAGAGTGGATCACAAATCTCTGACTAATTTCTCCATATTCCTTGTTTTAAATGGATAGAATTCTTGGTTTTTTTAAAATTATTATTTATTTGCTTTATACTCATGTCATTTGATTCATTCTCAGATTCACCAGAAATAGCCTTCTTACCTTGTTTAACACAGGAGAGATGTTGGTCTTAGCTCACATTTGAAAATTTGTATTGTCAATGCTTAGTATCTCAATCCTTGTGAGTTCCCACTCCCTGGGGGTGAAATTCATCTTTGTGAGTGGAGAAGAGGGAAAAGGATGATCTGCCTCAGACATTTACATCATCTTAGTCAAAAGCATAGGCTCTACTGTGAAGCATGAAGCTGATATTTAACCTCTCCCATCAGAGACTGACAAGTCATTGATTACTTTAGAGCCATGAATCTGACAATGTCATCCCAGACCTTGTTCCCATAAAGGTGCAGCAGACTGCTCACAGCTTTCGTGTTACAGACCCAAACTTATGACTCAGACCCGTAAAAGGATTTAGATCTCTGAAGGCACACACAGAACTTCAGTCAAAATATGCAAGCATTACGACCTCATCTAAATGCGATGCTAATCAGATCTTAGAGACACTTAGGGTGTAAGGTAGGCAGTTTAAGGGATGCTCGTGTTTCAGCTTAATACCTGCGCAGGTGTGACTTGGAATCATCGCTGCTGCCCCCTTCAGTGAGGTCCATCAAGGCCCCTGGATGCTCCCTACTTTAGTCCCAAGGTGCTGAGTTTAGGAGGCATGCTCAAATCATGCCCAGCACACCACAACTTCTTCAGGCTTCACATCAAGAGCAATTATGACTGTGTTCAAAACTATGGTCAGCTGGTGAGAGAAACAGAAAGCTGGTGACAATGTGTGTATCTAACAACAGCATACTGTAAGTGCCTACTGGCACATTTTGATGCCACTTGCCAAGATTAGGATATATGGTTCCTAAAATGAGTAGTTTACAACACTTCTTCACCATACATTAAATTATTTCAGTTGGCTCTAGAAGGGGTAAAATATACACCGGCACCTTGGGGACTGGACAGAAGGTTTGTCTTTCAAAATTAAATTCTGAAAGAACTCACAGATTTCTTCAGAATCTGGCTCTTTGAAAATCAGACTTTGGTTTTCTAGTCTGTACACTATCCATTACATTTACTCACCAACTGAATTCTTGTTCCTGTCTCTCAAATTTCCACCATCCATTAAAGCTTTTTATGGAAAAGTGTTGTCTTTCTTTGACCCCAAGTATAAATTACACATATAAATTTGTGAACTAAAAAGTGGGAGGAGGAATATTTACTGATAACCAAGGACAAATTTACAGACAAATACGTCAAAGACATAATAATCTCTGTAATAAAGAACATCAGAAAAAGAATCCCATATATGTAGTGATACTTTCAACACCTGCTTTAAGGCTAGTAAAGACTGAAATGTTATTGTGCAAAAACTTTTCTTAAATAATTTTATAGGCATTTTACTGACATTAGTTATAATTTTCTTCTACCTAGAAAGATCACTTGAGCAGGAAAATAATGCTGCTGAATGATGAAAAAAAAATTAAAAAAAAATAATTTTCAGCAAATTTAAGATTTTCTTTCAGTTCAATATCTGGCATATATAAAATAAATAATGATGGAGTGTATGTGACTGGCTGGAATGTCATCCTCATAGAGTGATCTTACTAACTTAGTCTTGAAGCCATCCCAGACAGCTTTACAGGCTAATACAAGTTTACATCATATAGCATGCAATACCATCATATATCCTATACATGTGTGTTGTGGTTTAAGCCCAGCCAGCAACTCAGAACCACGCAGCTGCTCACTCATTCCTCCCTCTTCTTCCCCCAGCCCTACTCCTGCAGGGATGGGGAGGAGAATGGAAAGAATGTAACTCCCACAGACTGAGATAAGAACAGTCCAGTAACTCAGGTATAACACAAAACCCTACTGCTACCTCCAAGAATAATAATGATAAGGGAAATAACAAGGGAAGAGAATACAACCACTCACCACCTGCCAACTGATACCCAGCCTGACCCAAGCAGTGAACTAGCCCTTCCAGGTAACTGCCCCCTCTTTACATCCTGGGCATGACGTGCTGTGGTATGGAATACATCTTTGGCTAGTTTGGATCAGGTGTCCTGTCTCTGCTTCCTCTCGGCTTCCCCTCCTCCCTGGCAGAGCATGAGACTCAGAAAGTCCTTGGTCAGAGTAAACATTACTGAGCAACAACTGAAAACATCGGTGTTATCAGTGCTGTTCTCAGGCTGAGAGTCAAAAACACAGCACTGCACCAGCTTCTAAGAAGGAGAAAAATGACTGCTACTGCTGAATCCAGGACAGTATCCACCCCTTATTCCATGCCATTTATGTCATGCTCAGAACCCACATTTTTTTCAATACACCATAGCTTTTGTCTCATACATAAATATACACAAACACACACACACACAAAGAGAGAGATATCATTCCTTAGTCCATGGACCAATCCCTATGAAGCTGCTGAATTCATCAATTCCATGATGTTGAGCTCCATCTCTTGTAACAGTCTTTCAGAGCAGGAGAGACTGTGTACAGTGTTGGATTGTTTCCTGCTGATGACACCGCAGAGCTCGTCCTCTCATTGCAGAACTCGTCTGGTTTCATCAAAGTTCGTTCTTTGTTGGGGTTGATGGTCAGAAGGAAGTCAGAGCCAGTCACTGGTGACCTGAAGAGATATGGTTGGTGGGCTATAAAAGTGCTACATAGCAGGCAATAGCATACAATTGAGTTCATTGGCTGTTTGCCCCTAAAATTGAAACCCCTTGAGGTACACATCAGACTTCCCCATCTTCCCGCATTACCCACCAAGTATATCCGGGTCCCTGAGCAAAAGCAATCCCCCAAGTGGGCTTGCCTTTACCCAAAGCAGGAATAACCCAGACTGTCTTCCCCAGCAAATTCTTTATGGTCACCACAGGAACTTCATGGGCCTCTACAGTATGTAAAAGTTCTCACTGGGCTGGGCCAGCCCTATTGGCAGATCCTCTGGTGTTGACCAACTTTTGGTAAATGTGTGTCCCAATGTTTGAAAGTTCCCCCACCCATTGCTCTCAGTGTAGTTTTTAACAGCCCATTGTACCGTTTGATTTTCCCAGAGGCTGGTGCATGGTAGGGGATGTGATATACCCACTCAATGCCATGCTCTTTGGCCCAAACATCTATAAGGTTATTCCGGAAATGAGTCCCATTGTCTGACTTTATTCTCTCTGGGGTGCCGTATTGCCACAAAATCTGTTTCTCAAGGCCCAGGATGGTGTTCCGGGCAGTGTCATGGGGCACAGTGTGTGTTTCCAGCCATCTGGTGGTTGCTTCCACCATGGTAAGCACATGGCTCTTGCCTTGGCGGGTTGGTGGCAGTGTGATATAGTCAATCCGCCAGGCCTCCCCATATTTATACTTCAACCATCGTCCTCCATACCAAAGAGGCTTTAACCATTTGGCTTGCTTAATTGCAGTACATGTTTCACAGTCATGAATAACCTGGGCAATAGTGTCCATTGTTAAGTCCACCCCTCGATCACAAGCCCATCTATATGTTGCATCTCTGCCCTGATGGCCTGAGGTGCCATGGGGCCACAGGGCCAAAAATAATTCACCCTTATGTTGCCAGTTAAAGTCTATCTGAGCCACTTCAATCTTAGCTGCTTTATCCACCTCTTGGTTGTTCTGGTGTTCCTCAGTGGCCTGACTCTTGGGTACATGGGCATCTCCATGACATACCTTCACCACCAGGTTCTGCACCCGGGCAGCAATATCTTGCCACAGTGCAGCAGCCCAGATGGGTTTACCTCTGCGTTGCCAGTTGCTCTGCTTCCATTGCTTCAACCACCCCCCACAGGGCATTTGCCACCATCCATGAGTCAGTATAGAGATAAAGTACAGGCCACTTTTCTCATTCAGCAACGTCCAGGGCCAGCTGGGTGGCTTTCACCTCTGCAAACTGACTTGATTCACCCTCTCCTTCAGCAGTTTCTGCAACTTGTCATCCAGGGCTCCATACAGCTGCCTTCCATCTCCGATGCTTTCCCACAATACGGCAAGAGCCATCAGTAAACAAGGCATACTGCTTTTCACTTTCTGACAGTTTATTATATGGTGGGGCCTCCTCCTCTGGTGACATTCCGAAATCTTTGCCCTCTGGCCAGTCCATGATGACTTTCAGAATTCCTGGATGACTGAGATTTCCTATATGAGCTCCTTGTGTAATTAGTGCAGCCCACTTACTCCATGTAGCGTCGGCTGAATGATGTGCAGAGGAGCCCCTGCCTTTGAACATCCAGCCCAGCATGGGCAACCGGGGTGCCAGGAGGAGCTGTGCTTCAGTGCCAATCACTTCCGAAGCAGCTCAAACCCCTTCATAGGCTGCCAGTATCTCTTTCTCAGTTGGGGTACAGCTGGCCTCAGATCCTTTGTATCCCCGACTCCAAAAGCCCAGGGGTTGACCTTGAGTCTCCCCTGGAGCTTTCTGCCAGAGGCTCCAGGTAGGACCGTTCTCCCGAGCTGCAGTGTACAGTACATTTTTTACATCTGGCCTGGTCGGACTGGTCCAGGGTCTACTGCATGAACTGTCTCATGTTTGATTTGCTCAAAGGCTTGTTGTTGCTCAGGGCCCCATTTAAAATCATTCTTCTTCTGGGTCACACGATAGGGCTTACAATCAAACTGCAATTTGGGATGTGCAATCTCCAGAACCCCACTGCACCCAAGAAAGCTTGCGTTTCTTTCTTGTTAGTTGGTGGAGACATTGCTGTTATCTTGTTGATCACATCTGTGGGGATCTGGCAATGTCCATGTTGCCATTTTATTCCCAAAAATTGAATCTCCTGTGCAGGTCCCTTGATCTTACTCCGTTTTATGGCAAAACCGGCCTTCAGCAGGATTTGGATTATTTTCCTCCCTTTCTCAAAGACTTCTTCCGCTGTATCACCCCACACAATAATGTCATCAACGTATTGCAGGTGTTCTGGAGCTTGCCCCTGTTCCAGTGCAGTCTGGATCAGTCATGGCAGATGGTAGGGCTGTTTCCATCCCTGGGGGAGTCAGTTCCAGGCGTACTGAATGCCCCTCCAAGTAAATGCGAACTGTGGTCTGCACTCTGCTGCCAAAGGAATCGAGAAAAAAGCTTTAGCAATATGAGCTGTGGCATACCCCTTGGCTGCCTTTGACTCCAGTTCATACTGAAGTTCTACCATGTCCAGTACGGCAGCACTCAATGGTGGTGTGACTTCATTCAGGCCACGATAGTCTACTGTTAGTCTCCATTCTCCATTAGACTTTCGCACTGGCCATATGGGGCTATTAAAGGGCGAGCGGGTCCTGCTGATAACTCCCTGACTCTCCAGTCTACGGATCAGCTGATGGATGGGAATCAGGGAGTCTCGGTTGGTGCTATATTGCCGCCGCTGCACTGTTGTGGTTGCAATTGGCACTTGTTCTTCCACCTTCAGCAACCCCACAACAGAAGGACCATCCAAGAGAGCAGGCAAGGTGGACAGCTGCTCAATTTCCTCAGTCTCCAAAGCAGCAATACCAAAAGCACACTGGTACCCTTTTGGGTCTTTGAAGTACCCTCTCTTGAGGTAGTCTATGCCGAGGATGCATGGAGCCTCTGGACCAGTCACAATAGGGTGCTTTTGCCATTCCCTCCCAGTCAGGCTGATTTCAGCCTCCAGTACAGTCAACTCTTGGGATCCTCCTGTCACTCCAGAAATATAGATGGGTTCCACCCCTTGCCAGCTTGATGGCATCAGGGTACACTGTGCACCGGTATCTACTAGAGCCTTATACTTCTGTGGGACTGATGTGCTAGGCCATCTGATCCACACAGCCCAGTAGATCTTATTGTCCCTCACCTCCACCTGGCTGGAGGAAGGACCCCTCAATATTGATCATAGTATTGGTTACTTATGTCTTATAGACTGGGATTATTCTTCTTTCACAGGAACTGGAATAAAATCAGCTCTACCACTCCATCTGGGAACTTGCTCACCAGAGTCTGAAGCCGCAGCTTTCGTGGGATGATCAGTCTTGGCCTTTGTTCTCCTCTTCAGTTCACACACCCATTCCTCCAGAGCTGAGGTAGGTTTTCCATCCCACTTTGTCATGTCTTCTCTGTGATCCCAGAGGTAAAACCACAGGGTGGCCTGTGGCATATACCTTCTCTATCTTCTCTCTTGAGCAGCAGGGAGTCTTTTGTTAATAGCTTAGACATGGGTTGGTACACATGGGGAGCTGGATAGATCAGATAGATCGTCTCTTACTTGTTTGAACTCCTGGGACAGTTTTCCCACAGCTGCAATGATGGAAGGGGTGAGATTGTCTTTGAACTCTCAGAGCTGATGAATCAGCTCATCCACTGTTGGTGGTGCTATATCATACCAGGTCGTTGATGCCAGTGAGTGGGCACATGATGATGGTTCCCTCTGTGTAAATTTCCACCACATGGGTCATGCACATCCGACTTCATCTGGATCTACGGGTGCATTCCCAGCATCCAACCTACGATAGATCATCTCTACAATGACTGATACCCTCAGAGACTGGACACCTTTCTCTATGCTGGTTCAGTTGGCTAAACAACTCATAACATAGTCCTTGTATGGAAACCTTTCTTTCACAGCTGCCAAGAGTCGCCTTCAAAGGCTGAGGAACTGTTTCTTTTTTGCAATCGCTTTGTCAGTTCCCCCTTCCTTAGCAAATGATCCCAGCTGCTTAGCTTCCATACCTTCTAGTTCGTGATCATTGGCCCGATTGTCACAGCATCGGAGCAGCCAGGTGACGATGTGCTCCCCTGGAAGACAGGTAAAATCTTTTCTCATATTCCGTTGAGGTCTGTTGAGGTCCATGGTCAAGATGTCACCTCTTCTTCTTCTTCTTCCTCTGGTCCACATAATAGTAACTCTAGTTCAGATGCTGTCCTGCGTACTAAGTGCATTGGTTCTTCATCTTTCTTCACTGTATGGGTTGCTTTCTGTCCCTCTTTTTTGTTTTCTCCTTGTGTACAGGGGCAACCAATATTGGCACGAATTGGTCCTTTGGTTTAGCTGCAGTGACTGTCACTGTGGTTGGAGTGACTGCCACTAGGGTTGGAATGGCTGCAGTATCTGTTGTCAGGGTTGGCGCAGCCACTGTGCTTGGGGGGTGAGTAGCACCAGCAACTGTGTTATCTGCTGCTGCCTGGGTTTGAGTAGCTGCTGTACTTGTCACTGGTGTTGGTGTAGCTGATGTACTTGGAGTTGGAGTAGCTGTGTTGTCTGTTGCTTTGCATCAGATCCAGAGACTTTTTTTTCCCTTTGAAGGTGCTGGATAGTGTTGAACAGGGCTCTGTAAGCATAGGCCAAGCCCCAGCACGTTGCCATGATTTGTCCATCTCTGGTATGACCAGGATGAAAACACACCTCATTTAAGTGTTTTGCTAATTTTTCTGGATTTTGCACTTGTTCAGTGGTGAACTTCCAAAGCAGTGGAGGGGTCCACTGGCCTAGATACTTGCCCATACAATCCCACACACCCTGCCACTCATGACTGTCCAGCCTTGGGGAAAATCTCTTGGTCTTCCTATGTTGTCATCTAACCCTAGATAACACCCAAACCTGACTCTGCTTAACTTTCGAGATCAGACAAAATAGTCGTAGGTAAAACAGTCTGTATGTGTGCCAACATGGTGATCCCCATCGCAGTCAGCAAGCAGGTCCCAAGGGTATTCAAAGACCTTTCAAAACCTTCAGAACTCTCAAATGATGCTGTAAATAGTCTGGTGGGGGAGCTGAGGGTGTAAGGGAATGTCTCATTCACAGGTTGACCGCCTGAGGAGGGAAAAAAAAGATGTGTAATTGCTAAACACTTCCATTATATACCTCCCAAAGTACAGAGGACCACACTGGGAGCACAAGCCAGCCTGCTTTCATGATCAATGAGTCTATTGCATTACAAATCATTACCGTAAAGTACAATGAAACAAGAACCTTAGCCCAAGGCTCCCCAGCCAATAAACACCAAGACAGCAGATACTAGCTGTAAGTAATGTATGACATGCTGAAACTCTGAGATCAAGAGCAGCAACTTTGAGAGCCAATAAATCAGCATTGTGAGGAGTGACTATTAATTTAAAACTATATATGCTTATCACAAATACAATTAGACAAACTCTGGTCAGATCTGTCACTATCTCAGCCCTTTGTGCCACATGTTGGGCACCACAAAGAACTGTTGTGGTTTAAGCCCAGCCAGTAACTCAGAACCAAGCAGGCGCTTACTCACTCATTCCTCTTCTTCTTCCCCTAGCCCCTGGAGGGATGGGGAGGAGAATCGAAAGAATGTAATTCCCATGGGTTGAGATAAGAACAGTCCAGTAACTAAGGTATAACACAAACCACTACTGCTACCACCAATAATAATAATAAGGGAAGAAATAAGGGGAGAAAATACACCCGCTCACCACCTGCCAACCGATACCCAGCATGCCCCGAGCAGCAATCTGGTCCTTCCAGGTAACTGCCACCAGTTTATATCCTGGGCATGACATGCTGTGATATGGAATACCCCTTTGGCTAATTTGGGTCAGGTGCCCTGCCTCTGCTTCCTCCCAGCTTCCCCTCCTCCCTGACAGAGCATGAGACTCAGAAAGTCCTTGGTCAGAGTAAACATTACTTAGCAACAACTGAAAACATCGGTGTTATCAGCATTGTTCCCAGGCTGAAGGTCAAAAACCACAGCACTGCACCAGCTACTAAGAAGGAGGAAAATGACTGCTACTGCTGAACCCAGGACAATATGCTACACAGGAATGTGTCTAGGCAGGTTTTGAATGTCTTCAGAGAAGGAAACTCTACAACCCACCAGGGCTGCTTGTTCCAGTGCTCTGCCACCCCCATCCTAAATAAGTTCTTCCTCAAGTCGTGGTGAAACTTTTTGTGTTTTAGTTTTTGGCCTTTGCTCCTCATCCCGTCACTGAGCATCACTGAGAAGAGTCTTGGCACCATCCCCCTGGCACCCACCTTCAAGATATTTATATGCAATACTGAGATCCCTTCTCAGTCTTCTCTAGACTGAACAGGCCCACCTCCCACAATCTACCCTCCTAAAAGAGATGGTCCAGACCCCTGATCATCCTTGTGGCCCTCCACTGGACTCTCTCCAGCAGCTCCTTGCCTTTCTTGTACTAAGGAGCCCAGAACTGGACACAGTTCACCAGCTGTGGACTCTCCAGGGTTGAGCAGAGTGAGGGTCACCTCCCTTGGCCTGCTGGCCCCACTCAGTGCAGCCCAGGGCACTATTGTTTCTCCTGGCCACAAGGGCACACTGCCAGCTCATTGTCAACTTGTCACCCACCAGTACTCCCAGGTGCTTCTCAGCTGAACTGCTCTCTGGTAGGTCAGCCCCAGCCTGTGTTGGTACTTTGAGTTCTTCTTCCCCACGTTCAGTACCCTACACTTGCCCTTGATGGACTTCATTAGGTTTCTCTCTGCCCAGCTCTCCAGCCTTTTGAGGTCCTGCTGACCTTCAGGTATATCAGCCACTGCCCCCAGCTTCATATCATCAGCAAACTTGCTGAGGGTGCATTCCATTGATAAACAAGTTGAATAAGACCAGACCATTGACTGCAGGCCTCCAAGTGGATTCTACTCTGCAGATCACAGCCGTTCTGCCAGTTTTGGATCCACCTCACTGTCCATTCATCTAACCCATGTTTCCTAAGCTTACCTATGAGGATATTATGAGAGACATAACTCCTCAATTTCTTTTTTGTTCTTTTTCTTTAAGGAGATCTGTAACCCTCTTATAATTCTATGTTCAAGTATGAGCTGACTTTAAGAATTAAAATAAGAGACTTTCAAAACTTCTTAGCTTCCTAATTGAGGCCAGATTTTCAGAAAACCTTGGCATACCAAGCACAAAGTTCTTGGAAGTCCAATCATTATTGTCAAAAAGAAAAAGAAAACAAACCCGAAAGTCTTAAATTGTCAGTTACACAACATTACATTAATATACTTAGCATTACATACTTTCACTCTCTTCAAAAGATGACACACATAGTACTCGGGAATCAATATTTTCTTGCTTTAGCAAGGGTCACAATCATTTGACTCACAATCCTGCAGGCTACAAATCAGGAATGGGATGGAAATTCATTTCTATCAAATTTCAAGATGCAGAATTATATCCGAATCACTTCCACAAATCTTTAGTGCTTACAAGATGGATAGTATGGAGGAAGAGTATATTTCTGATCAATCCTTTTAAATATTTTCTTGATATCAATATTCCATTTATTCCACATTTATTCTACTTTAACAAATCCACAGATGCAGTTACATTCTAAATTATTAGTTGGCTTAAAAATTGTAGTTAAAAACATTACTTTAAAACATTTTTTTTTTCTTCTAGTGGTCTTTGGGAACTACTATATACAGTTCTGGCAAGCACTAGCTTCACAGATGCAATGAATGATTTATTTATTTATGCACCATTCTACTTGGCATAATGGGTTTGATTTTGTTAAAGGCACAGTAAATGGGCCCACACCACGATGTTAGCTGCTCAAAGCCATTGGTCAGACCCAGGAGGGCAAAAGCCATAGTAGTTGCTCAGCTTTCCTCTCTCAAGTGCAACTTGGTCCTCAGGCTGGAATGACAATCTCCTTCTTCCTCCTCACCTCATGCCTGTTCTAATTCCTTGTTTTCTTTCTCTCAGCACTGTTTCCACTATCTCTCCTGCTCTTCCTCTCTGTTCAAAGCAAACTTTTCTTGCTTCCTTGTTGCCATTTGTCTTGCTCAACCTTGGCAACTCTTTCCTATCTCATTTTTCACCTCTACTCTTCCACAGTTTCCCACTCAATCCTCACTTCTATATTAATGTTTCTCTTCTCCCTTCTTCACATAACATTTAACCCATTTTCAGAAGTGACAGTATCTACATGTCTCCCTTGTTAATACAACTTGCAGTTCATACAACCACAGATTTATGTTGGCCTTTCTTCTTCTTCACTCTGCCCGCTGAAATTCCTAAGAAAAAGTAGCTGGAGGAACAGGTTTCTCTTTTCCTATTCAGTTCACTCCTAGCTGTCTGTTCATACTTTTACACACCATATGCAAGTCATAACCTCCTCAAATCTGGTTCTTGTAAGTCTAAAACCTTGTGCTGTGCATCTCTCAGTTATTAAATAATGTTCCTTCTGTTAAGACTTTCCCCTGTTCTGTACCATGTTCTTTTTACTTCCAGTTGGTTACATCTGAGTAGATTGCATTTGATTGTAAAATCCAGAGGGATGTTACTGACATGCTCTGGTTTCATTTAGTCTCCTATATACTTAGGTTTCAGTACTGCTTGGAACTTAAATGTACTTCTAAATGACAAAGAACAAATACAAGTAATAAGATTCAGTTCCACTGCAGTCTGCAAGTATATTGCTACTTTATCTAGTGCTGATTAGAAATTAAAATATGAGCTTAATTGTGGATAGTCCTACTCTTTCTCTCGTGATGACTACCTCTTTCAGTAGCATGTTTGAGAAATGACAAAAGCAGAATAATAGCAAGAATATAGAGAGCTGAGGAAAATCCTAATGCTGAAAAGTAAACAACAGGTTAACTTTCCAGTTGGTGGCCATATCCAAGATCAAATACTCATGCTTATTGCATTCACTGAATATGTATTTTGTATATTCAAAACCAAATCCTTGGGCTCATTACAGTGACTTGAGATGAGGCGTTGAAAAGTTAACCAATTTCTGAAAATTTGTTTCACTGTCAAAAAGGCAACATTTGACGCAGTGAGGCGGGTGGAAGTCTCTTTTACTGTTAAAATAGAAAAAAAAAATCACAAATATGGAAGTCCTCCTGATGGC